TCTTTTTTTTTTTTTTTTTTAATATATCTTTATTGATTTCAGAGAGGAAGGGAGAGGGGGAGAGGGAAAGAGAAACATCAATGTTGAGAGAGTCATTGATTGGCCACCTCCTGCACGCCCCCCACCGGGGATGGAGCCTGCAACCCAAGCATGTGCCCTGGCCGGGAATCGAACTCTGATCTCCTGGATCCTAGGTCGATGCTCATCCGCTGAGCCACGCCCGGCCAGGCAGAATCCATACATTCTTGATTCAGTGAGATAATCAGGACAATAAGTCTTGTTTACAAATTGGTATTTTCTCCCAGTCTCGACCCTGGAATATCAAGATCTTACCGCGGGTAGTTTTACCTTTGACAACACAGGGCAGCAGTAATGAGCATTCATCCTCATTAGCTCTCAACACAAACACCAGGCCATTGTTCCATGGCTAGAGTGGACCCAGGGATGCTGTTAATTTACACAGACACCACAAGAACAATTAACAGGTAAAGTGAAGAAAGAATAAGTCATATTTAAATGTGGAAACAGGTCTGGAAAGGGCATGAATTGTTTCTGATGCATTTTCACTAGGAGAAAAAAGGGGGTTGTTTTGTAAAGAGCTGTGAGCTTTTTCTTCTGGCATCTTAAAAGTCAGGTAACCTGTTTGCCCTGGATGGACAAGAGACAGAGCAGAGCTGAGGCAGAGGCCTGTGACCCAGGACCATGTGGGGGCCCCTCAGCCTGTGGGGAGCTTCTGAAGAGCAGTCTCGCTCCCCTGGCTCCCAGGGGGAAAGGGAGCTGCCCTGAATTTAGTTTCTCAAGCATAATACAGTTCAGAGAAAGCTAGGGTTTTGTTTTTATTTTTAACATAAAATTTACTTTAAGAGAGACATCAGTTTGTCCAGTGCTTGATTCCTTGTGCCTCAGACTGTAGCTAGGGCCGAAGGCAGAGCCACTGAGGGCCGCCTATGGGCACAGCGCCCCGGGACATTCAGACATCCCGTCACCTGTCTCCGGATAATCAGATCTGCACTTAATCCTCAGGAAAGAAATGTTCTGGAAGACAATCCTCAGGACACGGCACCAAGTCTCAGCAAAAAGGATCCAAATTTTGAGGTGCTTGTGCAGCTGGTAAGCAATTACTACGTAATAAGAATTTTCCACCTGTTTTTCTCCTGACACCCTCCCCCAAAAGAAACAACAACCACCCAACCACTTCAGCCTTTATTCTGGTTGGTTCCTTTTTTCTTGAAAGTTTCAAGAAGAAAGTTTAAGGGGTGAAAAACTCCCCAATGTAATGGGGGGAACCCAGTCAATAGCTTTTTCTTTTGACTATTTCCCGGTTCTGAAGTGAGCTGAGCGGAGAGGAGAGGATGGGGGCTCACGTGTGGGGAGCAAGGGCCATCGCGGCTTCCCCTCGCTTCTAGCGAGACGGGAGGGCGGCAGGTAAAGACACCGCGCGGGCACATAAGGCTCACAGTCCGACCCACCCACCAGCCCGGGCTCGCTTCAGATGCGGGTTAGAGTCAGGGCACGCCCAGGGCTCCGTCTCCCGGGCTGGAACGGGCCGCGCGGAGGCTGCAGCATAAGCCGGGCACGCCTGCTGCCCACAGTGCCCACAGCGCCAGGGCGGGCACACCTGCTACACCCGCTGCCCACAGTGCCCACAGCGCCAGGGCGGGCACACCTGCTACACCGGCTGCCCACAGTGCCCACAGCGCCCGGGTGGGCACACCTGCTACACCCGCTGCCCACAGCGCCGGGCAGGCACACCTGCTACACCTGCTGCCCACAGTGCCCACAGCGCCGGGCGGGCACACCTGCTACACCCGCTGCCCACAGTGCCCACAGCGCCCGGGCGGGCACACCTGCTACACCTGCTGCCCACAGTGCCCACAGCGCCAGGCGGGCACGCCTGCTACACCCGCTGCCCACAGTGCCCACAGCGCCCGGGCGGGCACACCTGCTACACCGGCTGCCCACAGTGCCCACAGCGCCCGGGCGGGCACACCCGCTGCCCACAGTGCCCACAGTGCCCGGGCGGGCACACCCGCTGCCCACAGTGCCGACAGTGCCCGGGCGGGCACACCTGCTACACCGGCTGCCCACAGTGCCCACAGCGCCCGGGCAGGCACACCGGCTGCCCACAGTGCCCACAGCAGCCCTTGCTGGGTAGGTGGCAGGGAGCCGATAGGGTGTCACCTGACCGGGGAATAATACCTGACAGCAGTTTAAGGCAACAGAAGTGTAACAACTGAAACCGTAAGTCATTATAAATGTTGGACGGTTCCAGTAAATCAAAAATACGCAAATACGCATAAAAATATGGGCTGTAAGCCTGCTCTCATGTGGGATCCAGATGTATTTTTAACTTACTAGATTATATCTAAATAGGCATTATATACAGACCAGGCGTTTGAAAGATAAGATGCACTAAGAACAGTGTATTTACAGTATTCCAAGCAGGGAGTTTTCTAACTTTCCTCTTGTTACTTTTCCATTTTAATTTCAGTTCGTAAACTTCTGGCTGACTTGTTTTGGGTAAAGATCACAGAGCCCTGTGCTTTACTACTGTCCTTTTATTGGGGGCAGGATGGGGCATACTCAGGGCTGGAGGGAAAACAGGAAATTGTGTTCTAAGAGTATCAGTAATTCTAGGTTCCAATTCAAGCCCAATAAATTTTAGAAATTTAAGTATTATAATTGTTTTCTATTACAAAGCTCATTTTACAACTTTCAGAAAGTACAGATAAAAGGAAAAGAATTACCTGTTCCCCAGGAGTGAAAACTAACTTCTCCAAATATAAACGCAGCACACATAATAACAGGGTGTGGGATTTCTCTACAGTAGTGTATGACTTTTACCTCTGCATTAAAAAAATAAAACCGGACTATTAAATATGAAAAAAACCCACACAGGACATTTGGCAAACCTAGCTACCCAGGGGAGATGGGTTCACAGTTCCCAAGTTAAGTACTTTTTCCTAAATACTGAAAGAAGAGCATGAGTTTCCCTATTTCATAACGTGCCCGTGGGAAGCAGCTTACTTGGCAGTGAGAGGGCAGCTCGTTTCAGTTCTTCTGCGTGCAGGATAATTGATAAAACACCACGTGGGGGAAAAGGGGACAATGAACAGAGTGGGCAACCCAAAGGCGCCCCCCAACACCGTGAAGGCGGGACTCTGTCCTATTGCACAGCTAGCACTCGACGCTGATCACGCATCCGATGGGCGGATGGATAAAAGTCGAGTCTCAGTCTGCCCCTCGGGATCCAAGATTTAAGTCCCATCTCTACTATGGCACCACGCCGGCCTAATGTGAGGGGCTATTTGGTGATACTGGGGTCAAGCGATGGTCATCGGGGTCCTCCATAGTCCCCTATCAACCCTGCATGTCACAGACCAGCAAGGGTGCATCTCAGAGCGACTGCCTGAGTGCTTCCATTTCTCTGCCTCCTTCAACTTTCAGGCTTTTCTGGGGAGCCACAAACCCAGAAAGAATCACTGTGCTCTCCCTGAATTCTTAATGCTTTTCTACAGGAGAGAAAGCTCCAGACGGACTTGGCCGCAAAGCGCACGAGAGTTGTGGGGGAACTCTTGCAGAGTGAGAGAAAATACGTGCAGATGCTGGAAATTGTGAGAGATGTTTACGTAACACCCCTGAAAGCAGCGCTGTCCTCAAACAGAGCAATTCTGAGTGCTGCAAATATCCAGATCATTTTCTCTGACATCCTGCGGATTTTAAGTCTCAACAGGTGGTTCCTGGATACGTATTTTTTGAAATCCTTAACTGCTCAGAGGCTCAGGCAGGCTCTGCCTCTCCTGGGGGCTCTGATCATCTCACAGATGACAGAGAATCTTGCCACTGGGCTGCACCCAGTAGTGATGATTCTCAGGGGCTAATTCCCACCTCAGTTCAAAGCCATGGTACTAGGAGTTGAGGTCAGTGCCAGGGGATTCTGTAGTCAACATATTGTTCATGCAGAAGACAGCGTGTTTAGTGGAGCAATGGGAAAGGAACCGAAGGATTTAATGGGACTAAGTCACTAGGATACTTTGCTTGGAGAACCCAAGGTCAGCTTAACAGTAGATGTTTTGGGATGTAATAGGACACAGAAAGAGGGATCATCTGCTCTGTGGTAAAGACAAACTAAGCTTGTGGTTCTCTGCTGGTAATGCTCCAGATGACTGGGAACACGTTTCTTACCCTCACTGGGCCCCAACTCCTACAACATAAAGAGGCTGATCTGGCCTCTTCTGTTCTCCAGGCCTGTGATGGCTGAGTGGGGGATAACCTTAGATTCACGGGGAAATGGGCCGAGGACAGGTTGTGGCCATTTAAAGCTGAGCTGAGCATTCTGCTCTGGGGACTGTAAGAAACCTTCCCTGCCTGCCTGCCCGCCCGGCTGTATGGGAATGAGAGAGGCAGAGGCAGCCTTTGGAGTCCAGCCTGGGAATTAAGGTGAAGAGGTGGGATTCCCCTCTAGTCAGCCTGCTTCCTCCCTTCCCAGCTCCTCCTGTCCTGTCAAATCTGGACTGCTCTGTATCAGGACAAAAGTATGTGACAAAAGCCCAGCCAGAAAGGACTAGGCTGAAGCAGCTGCACTAATGAGAAGTGATTCATCTGTTAAGTGCATAGGTTATCACTAGTCCTTACTTCATGGCCACTCTTTTCTCGTCTTGCAGGCGGTTTCTAGATAACCTGAGAGACAGGCTACAGGAATGGGGCCCAGCTCACGGTGTGGGAGAAATATTCCTAAAGTTTGGAAGCCAGTTGAACACATACACCAATTTCTTCAACAATTACCCCGTTGTTCTGAAAACGATTGAGAAGGTAAATGATTGAGTTACCGCCAGGCATTTTCTAGACCTGAGCTTGAAAGGAAGTGTTGTGTGCAGTCCACAGGACCAGGATTGATAGGGAAGCTCCGTTCCCTACTCTTAGCTCCCAGATCCACCTCTCTGGCTTACGGCGGATGCTGAGGATGGGGACCCTGATGTTTAATTTTGTATCATGAGGGGCCAGCACAGCAGGGCCCAGAAACTAGTTGTTAGACTGAACTAATCCTCACACAAACTGTCAGACTTCCATCTGCTGCAGATATGCTGTGGCTGTTACAGGAAAATGTTAGACACAAGAAAGCCCATGAACTCTGATTCCACTCTGTCACTGCAGACCTGTGTGATGTTGACAAAGTCAGCTCTCTTACAAAAAAAAGGAATGGTCTGGCTGGCATGGCTCAGCGGTTGAGCATTGACCTAGGATCCAGGCGATCGGGTTTGATTCCGGGTCAGGGAACATGCCTGGGTTGTGGGCTCGATCCCCAGTAGGGAGCGTGCAGGAGGCAGCCGATTAATGACTCTCATCGTTGATGTTTCTCTCTCTCTTCCTCTACTTTCCTCTCTCTGAAATCAATAAAGGCATTTAAAGAAAGAAAGAAAAGGAACGAACAGTTCATGTTTCTTGGAACAAGAGAGTCAATTTGTGAAATTTCACTATGAATGAGGAATTTCTTTGCCTTACATTCCTTTGAGTTCACTGTGACTTGTGCCATCTGTAGTCTGGGCAGGAATATTTGCTTCCCTCTGCTCCACTTGCTGTTCTGGTTGGGATCCCTTCTGATGGCAATAAGATCCCTCTTTCTTCCCTCCTGAATTTGTATCAAAAGTGCAGCAGAAGAGGCTGCCTTGCGACACGGGGCACACTTCTGCCAGTGTCCAGTGTGTCCACTTCAGCTGTGTCCCCCTGTCTGCAGTGAGGTCTCTGACCGATTCCTGACCTCTCACCCCACCCAGAGTTTAACACCGCTGGACCATCTGATTAAGTATTGCGTGAAAATTGCATGACTAAGGCAATTTCATAGAACTGATCATGAGGACAAGAGCTAAAGTGTCACATATTATCAGAAAAAAATGGGTGCCAGAATTTTTATAGATATGGATAATGATGATACCTGTTTCACCAGCAGAGGGTGTGCCTGTTAGTACTCGGTAATTGTTAGCTACTAAAATCACTCAAATCAATACCTGATTTCTAGAAATGAACATTACTGGCATCTTTTAGGCATGTACCCACTGAGAAAAATGGGTACTCCCTCTGTGTTTTAATGGTGATGAATGAACACAATTTAAAACAGATATTAAATACAGTGAGTGGGGCACCCTTAAAACATTACACATGATTAGCAGCAGCATTACAGGTAAATGCCATTAACAGTCTTTTACTACAAAGAAATAACATTTACTGTGCAACAGGCATTTTATGGACGGGATTTATTTTTCCTTCACTACAAGAGTCAGGCATGATATCCATGAGGAAACGGAGGCTCTGGGGAGTTAAGTAATTTAATAAGGTCACACAAAGAATTAGGTAGAATTAGATTAGAATTAGAATTCAAATTCCGGCCTTCCTGGCTGCAAAGTTTGTTTGCATTTGTCGGCACCGATTAAGTTGAATGGACTGGGTGAGGAGCGTGGTCTGGATCAAGGGCCCTGCTCGGCATGTCCCCTTAGTCAGTGCTGACGACACTCCGCCTAGATGTGGTGTGGGCCTCTTGCTTGAGCGCCTCACGGATCGGCTGGCTTGCCTGGTGGAGCGCAAGGCTTTGCACTGTCACTTGGAGCCACGTTTTGACATTATGCTCACCTTCAGTGCAGGGAGAGGAGTCCAGCATTCCGAGCTTTCCTGAAGAGGCGCGAGAAGACCATAGCCACCGAAATGCTGAGGTGGGTTCTGAGGGAGAGCACAGCTGAGGCACCCGAGGGCGGGCCTTCTCTGACCTTCAGAGACACCAGGGTCCCCTCTCTGCCCCACAGCCTGCCGGAGCTGCTCCTGCGCCCGTCCCGGAGATTCGAGGAATACGGTCACCTGCTCTGCGCGCTCAGGCTCCACGCTCCTGCGGAGCACGCCGACCGCGGGCCCTTGGCCACTGCCCTTGACCAAATCAGGAAATACCAAGGTTACATAGATCAGGTTGGCTGCTGACAACAGTCCGCGTCCTTTAAAACGCGTTTCTGGTCGTCTAACTCAAATTCTTCACGTTCTTTCATCCTTTTAACGTGAAATCACTGTGTTCAGAGACTTGGGGCACTACAAGCATCGATTTTAAGCTAAACAGCATGAGACAGAATGTTTTCAGATAGCTGCACAAGTACAATAAAATCTATTAATATGAAAGTCTGAAGAGAGAGGCATTTGGATTGATTTTTCTAGAGGACTAAAAGAAAAAAAGTAAAATTCTTTGTTGCTGAAAGAACTTAATGAGATTTCCCGCCTGAGTAAGTCGGCATCTGAGGACAGTACTGTCATCCTGAAGATGTCACTGTGATGGGCACTCTGCGGGGGCCCAGGCTGAATGCAAACCGGGCCCTTTTGAATAGTCTTGTCATCTGCCTCTTTGTTTTAAAACACTGGGTACATGAAATTAGACTCCTTATAATGTATGGGAATACCAAGCCCTGTATCAAGTGCCACGGAATAGTTTAAATCTTTTTTATGTATACAAATTTCACAATTTTATTTTGCCTACAATCACTTTGTTTTCTAGATGAAGCAAAGCATCAATATGAAAGATCGGCTGTCAGACATACAGAGAACCATCTGGGGGTGCCCTGTACGTATTCCGATGTACTCGATACATCCCATGCTCATGGATGAAACCTCTATCACTGGGAAAGGAGACATACAGACGTTAAGTCGGCCAGCGTCTGCTGAATGCCTGCTGTGCGCCTGGCGCTGCCGAGCTCTCATTTCACATCCTTATCGGCAAGGACGCGGCATGAGAAGAGCACACGTGGCACTGACCTATCCCTTGACTCTCCTGCAGTCTTAGCTCCTTGCTTGGTACTACTGTGATCATGATGCTCTCTGAGGAAAGGGGCCGTGTCTCCTATTGCTTTATATTTCCCTGTGCAAAGTACATGATATTGGATGCCTAAAAAATCGTAGAAGCCCTGTGCTCGCCGTTACCTACAGACTGTCATCTGGTCCCATTCTACCTTCTCGCTTAAGCCTCACTCACCACTTTACGAACAAGCCACACAGATCTACTCACAATTCTCCAGTAGGGTCAGCCTCTCCTCACACATTTGTGCTTTGCCCATACTCTTCCTTCTCGAAAATAACCTTCCTTTCCTCTCCGCTGGATAAACGCCTATCCATCCTTTACAAGTTCAGTTCAGTAATCTCTGTAGTTTCTCCCAACATCTCCAGCTGGGAGTCACCCCTTCCTGGGTATCCTGCAGCACCCTGAAGACCCGTCACACTTCACTGCAATCCTTTATTCACAAGGCTGGGAACTCTATCGGGTGTGAGCTATGATTTACTTGTCTTCTAGTGTTTGGCATATAATAGGAGCTCAATACATGAATTATATTGACTTAAAGTAACAATTGATTAGAGATGTTATTTTTGTTTGGTCAAATCGGGGAAGCAAGATGGAGCTGTTTTGTCATAACTTACATCTGCATATGTTGGTAGGGAAAGTGGAGTTGATTGGATTACAGTAAGTCCAACATCTTGGAAGCCAGAGTCCATGGGGCTTAACCTCTAGATGGCTCTTCACACCAAGTGGTCATGGCCATGGCTACGTCAGTGCAAGGGCCTGGCTTCTTAATTTGTAACAATTCATTCCCTTTTCTTGATAGATTGCTTATTCACCCCACCTCATTTTGTTTTTTTAAATTTATCTTTATTGTTGAAAGTATTACAGAGGAACCCCTTTTCCCCCATTGGTCCCCTCCACCACCACCACCCTGCCACCCTCCCCCCAGGCCTTCCTCACACTATTGTATGTGTCCGTGGGTTGTGCATATATGCATATAAATTCTTAGGTTACTCTCTGCCCACCCGCCTTCCCTCTGAGATCCCTCAGTCTGTTCCATGCTTGTGTGTCTCTGGATCTATTTTGTTCATCAGTTTATTTTGTTCATTAGATTCCACATACGAGTGAGATCATGTGATACTTGTCTTTCTCTGACTGGCTTATTTCACTGAACATAATACTCTCATTTATTTTTGAAACTAAGAAAAAGTTTATAAATAAAACAATTTCAGTAGCTTAAGAAATTAGACAACACCCTAAAATATAGTTTCCATTGTCAATTCTGTGGTCTTAAGAAATCCTGTTTTATAAACAATAAAAACACTCGCTTTTTCATAATTGAACAGAGTTCCACTCCATACTTGCGTATTCTGGGATACAAAATGGGTCTGCAGTGGTGGGGCTTTTTATTTTCTAAACATTTACGTATGTTTCTAATTTTAATTTTTATTTCATAGGCTCTATCTGAAGTAAACAGATACCTAGTTAGAGTCCAAGATGTTGCCCAACTTCAGTGCTGCGATGAGAAAATAAGTTTCTCTTTAAGGTAAACATCTAAATATCCTACAGCTGTCACTCTTACTCATCTCATACCCAACATCCATTAGTGTCTGACGTAGTATAAATTTACCATAATCTGTGTGTTGAACTGGAAAGTTACACACACACTCTGAGATTAGGTGCTTTGTCTCCTTACTTGAATTCCTGGCAGCTACTGGGCAAAATGGGAGAAAATAGCCTCTGCCGGGGAACAGGAATTCTAAAGGTGAGTCACTTTCCTACTGACAGGTGATCTAAGTGTTGTGGACACCACGAGTTGAATGACCTGCTCAACCGTAAGGAAGAGAAGGCCGGTTTACTATCCTGGGGTAGTTACTGCGGTATTTAAAGGGTCTCACCATAAGACCACCATTATTTTGAGGTCTCACCGTATCTGCTTTGCACACTGCTCACAGGAATGTAACAAAAGATGGGCGGGTGTCAAGTTCCATAAACCAGCATCCACCTTCCTCCTGTGGAACCAAGATGGGCAGTTTCTGTAAAAAGTCAGATGGTAATAAACATTTTAGGTCTTGCTGGCCAAATAATCTCAATGATTTTGAAAAATTCTCAGCCATTATTCAAGTATTCCATCTGTTCCTCTTTCTCCATCTGATACTATTAGATATGTTACATCTTTTGTAATTGCGCACATTTCTTGGGTATTGTTTACGTCGTCTTTTTTCTGTTAGTTTGGTAAGTTTCTATTGGTGCATCTTTTCTTACTGATTCTTTCCTGGCTATGTCCAGACTGCTGATAAGCTTACCAGAGGTATTATTCATCCATTAAGTGTTTGATTTCCAGAATTTCCTTTTAACTTCTCAGCATTTTTATTTACCAATCTGTTCTTGTATGTTACCCACCTCTTCCAGTAGAGTCCTTAACGTACCATACTTATCTTAAATTCCAAAATCTCTACCATATCCAGGTCTGGCTTTGAGGCTCTCCTTGTTTTATCCGACTGTTTTCTTGGCTCTAAGCATGCCTTGTAATTTTTTGTTGACAGCCAGACATGATGTACTGTGTAGAAGAAACTGAATAGGCCTTTAGTGTAAGGTTTTGTTTACTTGACGTGTAAGCCTGTGTTTCTCTTTGTTGTAGCTGTGGTGTTAGAGGCTTCCAATTTTCTCTGGTATCCTTGTTTTTGTCTCTCCTGTTGTCATTGGGTTTTCTAGAGATTCTTTAAATGGAGGCTGAGCTTTGCTATTGTTTTCAACTCTGTTATCCCTTGTTGTTATTGGTGTGATGGCAAGACATGAGAGGGAGGGTTAACAGTTCTATAGTCCTATGCTTTGGTCTGTATTTATTTACTTATAACATGTTTTTATTGATTTCAGAGACAGGAAGGGAGAGGGAAAGAAACAAACATCAGTGATGTGAGAGTCACTGATCAGCTGCCTCTTGCACACCCCCTACTGGGGATCGAGCCTGAAACCTGGGCATGTGCCCTGACTGGGAATCGAACCGTGACCTCCTGGTTCACAGGTTGACGCTCAGCACTTAGCCCTATCTGCTTGGCTGGGCTGTTTTTTAGTGAGCCTGTGCCCTTGGGCTATGACCTTCACAAACACTTCTTGGCTTTTAAGCTTTTAGGATACATTATGCATCGTTTTTTCAGAAACACTGCTTTTCATTTATGTGACTTTAAGCTTGCTGATTTTTAGCATGCTTTTCCCCCTTCCCATGGGGTCTCCCCAAAGTTGCAAAAGTGGAGCCCTCTAGGGCTGGTGAATAGAGACTGAATCCCCACTTCTCAGACCGAGTCTTCTTGAGGAAAAACCCTACAATAACACCCAAAATGCAGTTACCTTTCCTTTTAGCTTTATCCAAAGGGACCTATAGTCATTTACCGGGGCAGTCAGGCATCGGGAAAAGGGGGAAACCCAGACTTCTCAGGGACACTTAACCCTGGCTCTGAACTGATTCTTTTCCTGGGGAAGAGAACCCCAAAAGCCACTGTGATCCACCAGAGTGGGAATGACGCAGGGGTTATTTCTAACCCAGAGAGCTGTTAGAAATAAAGAATCTCTGGTTACTTCAGCTCTATTAAATAAGAATTTGCACTTTAACAAAACCTCCAAGTAACTCAGACACACATTAAAGTTTGTACTATGTACAAGACAGACATTGTCATATGAAGTAGACTCTAAATATGAAATATAGCAGCTTTTATGGAGAGCAATCTGGAAGTCTTTGATAAAAATACACACACCCTTTCACCCATCAGTCCTACCCTTGGCAATCCTATGATAAAGGTAACAGTACATGTAAGGAATTTGTTTATATGTAAGGACCAGTTTATTCCAACATTGCTCATAGTGGCAATAAAGAACAAATGAGAAGAGGAAAGAGACCCAAACCTGTAAACATAGCAAATGTCCATCAAAAAGGGACTGCCCATCAAAAGGGGAAGAGTTGAATAAATGATGGTCCATCTACACCAGGAAGTATCATTTAGCTACTAAAAAGAAGTAATGAAAGCCATACCAGCTCACTTGTAGTGATTTCCATTGCCGAGTGAGAAAAGCATGAAAAAGTGTGACTATTACCATTTTTGTAAAATAATGACAAACTACCTGTAAATAGATGTGTGTATATATATATGTACATATGTGTGACTACCTAAGCAGATAAAAGAATTGGAAAGATATGTACTAGTCTGGTATCTCGGGTGACCTAAGTGGAGGGATGGGATGTCCCTTCAGCATTTATTAAAACTGTATGTGGATCTAAACCGACAAACTAAAAATTAAACAAAAAATGGTGAAGATAGAAATATGAGACTTCCTCTGAACAAGCTGGTAAACTGACTCCCTTCCTGAGAGTAAAGGATGCTTCTAAGAGCACATAAATTTTTTGATAACCCTCCATCAAAACACTAAGCTTGCTTTACTCAGCACTCCTGGTGGGGTGGGGCTCCCCAAGCTCCTCCCTCGCACATCACTTGATGCTGTTGAGTATTCACACAGATAACCCACACCAGTGTGCAGTGACAGCCACTTGAGCTGGCTGCGACAACAGAGCAGCAAAGAGGGTAATACACGAAGGTTGTGGACACATTTTGCCTGTTGATACATACGCCTACCTTCGACCATGGTAGCAACCTCAGTGAAAACCAAGAGCTACTTAACTCTAACTTTTCACACTGATCAGGTATCTTAAGTTACACATCAGTTTCCCTCCCTCCAATCAAAATTAGAAATTTCTATTTCCTACCAGTAGTTCGATGCTTTCTATTTAAGACACCTCGTGCCACACTGGTTCTCCACCCCAACTGTTACCCTTAAAGATGAAACCAAACAAAAATTTATTTTCCCCAGATTGCCCAAACATATCATATGCAAAATATCAAACTTGAGAAAAGTCTGGAGAGTTGAATGTTCCCCTTCTCCACGCTGCCTACGGAACCCTTCTGAAACTGCCTTCTGCATTTTAACACAGGCTCTACGAACACACCCGCGACCTCAGCCTTTTCCTCTTCAACGACGCACTGCTTGTTTCTCGTCGGGGCACATCTCACACGCCATTCGAAAGGGCTTCAAAATCAACCTACCAGTTCATCGCATCAGTGGCCCTCCATAGGTTACTCATAGAAGATATTCCAGACTCCAAATGTATGTATTCTTTTCCAAGAGTTTAATACCTTTCGAAAGCTGTATTATGTAAAGCTCATTAACTATTAAAATAGAAAAGTAGGAAAAGCACTGGAATTATAAATTTGCAGTTTGCAAATAATTCCCCAAGTATTTTTAGGATTTCCTTCATGTAAACTTTCATCTACTTGGAAGAGCAAAAGGAAGGAATGCTGCCCGGCTGGGCGTGGCTCAGTGGTTGAGTGTCGACCTACGATCCAGGCGATCAGGGTTCGATTCCCGGTCAGGGCACATGCCCGGGTTGCGGGCTGCAGCAGATCAATGACTCTCTCATCATTGATGTTTCTGTCCCTCTCTCTCCCTCTCCTTTCCTCTCTCTGAAATCAATAAAGATATATTTAAAAAAAAAAAGGAAGAAATGCTGGCATCGTCAGACACGCGCCAACTACGTCACACTGCCTGTGGATGTTACAATGTTAGACTTTTTCCATCCTACTAGGACTAAGTGATTATTATGGATTTTACTGTACCTCTTCTTAAGTTCATATTTAAATTAAGAGTAAAGGAGATAAAAGAAATCAACAAATTTGTAAAGGATGTTTAGTAACAAACATTTCATTCATAATAACCTCAATAGAAATATCATTTGTTATATAAAAAAAATTTCCGACTTAAACCTAAACCTGTGCCTATTTTTAGTTATCTACTTCCTAAGCTTGAAAGGATCCATGTCTCTTCTATTTCTGTTAGGCCAGACAACCTGAATGGAGCGCACTCATTCCAATATTTTTCACTGCATGTAAAGGCAGGACTTAAATGTTAAAGCTGGAACCAAGACCTCAGAGAAAATATTAATATAAAAAGGACTGCTGACTAAGCTTCAGCCCCATTTTAAATCTGAGCCTGAGAAAAAAATGAAAACCAAGAATATTTCCACCTAGAAGACAAACTCAGATAAAATGGGTTAGTTACCTAAAATCACCGGGTATATTTAAAAGTGTATGACTCCCCTTAATCAGGTACGCCCTGTTAAAATATCATCATGTTACCTAAAAGATAGTGGCCATTCAGCTAAGAGGCTGCCTTAATTCTGTCACTGGCCCTCACACCAAAGTTGTCTAGGTCTAGCTCTCAGCATCTCCATTTGTAACTCTCAGTAAAGACCTTTACTGGTTCCAGTTCCTTCAGGAGTGGCCAAGACAAGGAATTAAAGAACATTAGATCATCTATCATTTAGTCTTTAAACATAATTGCTAATTAATAGAGATGATTACTTTAGATGATCATATATTTGAATATTCAGCAATTTCAGGAAGTTACATCCTAAACTGAATTTATTTGAATTCCTTTTCAGTATTCAAAAAATTCTTAAAGACATGGTCAACTTTTGAATTTTAAAACAATTTCTCCTTTTGATTGTTACCTGCAAAGATTAATTAGTGAACCTCAAATATTTTTATAGATATCAAGAATGCCTTCATTCTTCAAGGTCCAAAACGTGAATGGATTTGTGCCACAGAAGCTGAGGATGACAAGTTCCTGTGGTTATCAGTACTCCAAAATACAATCAAAAGTACCATGGAGAAATGAGACTGAACTTTAAAAAAACATCGGGGCCAATTCTCCAGGCAAAGATAGACAACATGTATTTCCTGTTCCACGATGGCCCGTAAGGTTCCTCCTCACTTTTAAGCTTTATTATCTATGCTCATTATGGGAAATGTACAATAAGAATAAGCTGAGTCCAAGACTTTGAACCACCTCTCTTGGCAGTTCTTTTTCATGGACAGTATTCGATAGAGTTACCTGACAAAACAGAACAAGTATATTGTGTATTTAAAGTTTTCTTTTATGATCTAATAAAACATCAGAATGAAAAGGGGTTCTTAAATGGTCAGTCTAGAGAAATACTTTAATTTGTTGGTGATTTACCAATTATCTTTAACATTTTCATGAATCATTTAATTTAAAAATATGTATAGGGAATATAAATGGCAATTTACTCAAAAACCTGTCACATATATCCTAAATATGAATGTATTCTTCCAGAGAGCATTAAAAATATACCACAAGTACTAAAAAGTTTTCTGTGATTTTTAAATGTTCTGTGGTTGCAAAATAAACTTTTAGATCTTCAAAATAAAAAAGCTTTAACATTTTGTGACATTGTTAAATTAAAAGGCTTTCGAAAAAAAAACCCAACTTTAAAAGAACAAAAATAAGTGGAAGCCTACCAAAACTTACCTGTAATGGAATTTAGTTTAATAAAAATAAAGAAATTAAGACAAATCTATTTCAAAATAGAGAAACAACAAAATAGGTGTTGAGTAGTTTTCAGCGCTGTTCTTTAAAGTCTTCATTTAATTATTTAACAAACTGAAGCCATAACCCGTTAGCTACTTGGAAGCTGTAGCTGACATATGTAGTAATAATATTTTTACTTAGTTAATGGTAGGTAAAAGTTGTATTAATCTAGGAGGCTCCTGGATGTCAGTTTCCTTTCTGCTTCATGTTCTCCTTTAAGGTAATAAACTATATTAGTACACAAGGATTGTGAACTAGGCTATTTTAAACATTTTCCTTTTTCAACAATGAAAATATAAATTTCTTCTAATTCTTAAGAATTTAAATTCTTGTTAACTGTACAAAATTTAAAATACTGTGTTTTATAGTATAAAATCAAACTTTTGATTCTGTTATGACATATCCATGCAGCTCAACATCTATGATTCCCACAGACAGAATAAACCATTCAAGGTTTATTGGTCAGCAATGAATGCAAATATACAAATCCTATCCAAATGTGTGTATGTATTGATATATAAATATATATATATCTGAAACAAACCCTAAGACAGTATATCATCCTGAATAAGGCACACTTCAGAAACTCTGCTAATAGGGAAAACCTGTCCACATGGCAAAAGAGCAAGTGACAAGATAGCTTAAGGTAAAGTAGAAATCCTAAAGAATTTCTGTTTATTCTGTGAATAATTAATGTCCTCAAAAAATTTAAAACATATTACTTGAAAATAATCTCTGTAGAGGCTCATGAGTATAAGCTTTTAATGGAAAGTTAAGTGCATAAATCATGCAAAAAGCATGATGTTTGCAAGTGGATGGTACTTACACTGCTTGTAGTTCAACACTTCCCCTTCACTTTTAGGGTATAATTAAGAAAGGTCTGTCTTCAGAGCTATTTCAAAAGTTTGCTGCTGAATTAAAATCTCACACAAAAATATTTTAAGTCACTGGTGAACCATCAAATTTTCATAAGGAAAATATAGAACCTGACCCCAAGTTGACAACCCAAGGAGAACCCTGAAGGAACCACAGGACTCCAGAAAATGTTGACTACGGCAGAGCTTACAGTTAAAGATGGCCTTACCCAACACAGTTCTTTCAAATAAAAAAAAAATTAAATAGAAAACTCATTTAAAAGATTTTTATAAGACAAATATAGATACTTTATGTGAAACATTTAATCTGAAAGACAAATTAAGTTTACTTAATTTTGTCTCCTTTTGCAAATATGCTTGAGATGTAAAGAGAAGCCCATTCTGTAAATCAAATCAGTGTGTAGTTTTAGCCACATAAGTCTAATGGCCCAACATTATGTATTATTGCTGCTTTGAAATAACAAGGGTGGGCTGTGCCAACAAACACAATATACCCTCCAGAAAAAGTCATCCTGACCCTTTTATTGTTGAAATTAAAAAATAAAAGATACTTAAATACAGTGGTGAACATATAGGGCAAAACAATCATAAAATTTAATGTTGAATTAAGCAGTGAGCTGAATGTATGGGTCTCCAAATTGGCTTGAACCCAAAACTGCTTAAAAATGGGTATGTTCACAGTTAACGGCAATTGGCTTATAGGTGAGAGAATGGTCGAAGTTGTTCCAGTTGAACTTCCAGGGAAATTCTCTCCTCAAGAACATCCTGAAAAAGATGCAAAGCCAGGTTATGTTTCAACATCTATAAAAACAAAGGCACATCTAACAACAGCTGTGCATCAAAAAACAATTTAAATTTGTTAAGATGATGAAGGAATAGCTGTTCATTTTTTAAAAAGTTATTTCACTTTACAAATGTTTATGTAATATTAAAATATTTTTCTTATTATATAAATAGGGTAATTAAATTTTTTTTGTTTAATTATTAGAAAAGCCAGTATTTGCAAATGATGGCCATTATTATGCATGAACCTTGCACAAAGCATACCCCCTGCAGTAACTGTAGATGAGGAGTTAACATAGATTCTTCCCCTGGTGAGTACATCTGGTTATAGCAACACCTGAACCTCATTTTGAGTTTCAGTTTCACAAAGAATAAACTTATTTTGTAAGAATTTCTAAGCACTGTCGATTTTGAGCAGTCTTTTCAGATAGCCAGCAAATTCTAATTTATCTACTTTCCTGTTTTTCACCCTTTATCATACTGAGAGTATCATATTTTAACTAGAACTACCTTTTTCTATTTGGTATCATACTTCCTATTTTCTGTTCTCACAGATAATGAGAAGGGCGATTCTTAAAATGGCTCCTATATATATGTTTCTATGGTTTTCTTTAGCTCTTCAGAAAAACACGCATTAACAAAATTTTCATCTTCAGTATGGTACTAGCAAGCTTGTCCTTACTTTTATATTCTTCCTTTACAACAAACCAAATTTCTAATCATAGAACTGCAAATATCTTCTTTGATCAAAGAATTCTGCAAGAATAACATTCATTCAACAAACATTTATCAAATGCCTAACGCAATATTGATTCATAAGAAACACACGTTTGTCATTCAGATGACCAAACCATATTTCTCATGTATATTTGGTCTTCACCCACAGTTCCTGGGTCATAGCTCCCCCAAAGCCTAGGAATTGCCCAAGCATTTGGGGGGGGGGG